CCCTGGGGTGCTGCTGCTGCACCATACGCCTCTCTCAGGATCTGGGAATGTTTTAGAGCCGGGCGGTCCTGGCATCTCCCCTGGCATCAGCTGCTGCAGGCTCAGCACTTCCTCTCCCCGTTTTCCCATTCTAAATTGCACCATTACTGCGGGGTGGGAAAGGCAGATATTTTATGTGGTGTCCGGGAGGGGAGGCAGGGAATTCTGGCTCCTCTGAAGAGGGACAGGGAGCAGCAGGGCTCAGAGCCGTGGCTCCCACCATGCTGCCAGCAAGATGGTCCTTCCACGGGCACAGGAAGGGTGACACTCATGGACAGCACCGAGCAAATCCCTGTACGACACAGTAACGCTGCCCAGCTCCCCCTGGCCCAGAGGCAGCTCCAAAACCGCCTCTCAGGGAGCTTCTCTCCGCCTTTGCCAGCTGCCAATAAGGTCAGTCCGAGCTCTCGCCCTCCCTCCTCCCCACGGTGCCAGGACTGTCCCCTCCCGTCCACCCCAGCAGCGCGGGGCCGCTGAACCTCCAAGATCTGATAGCGCCGGCCCAGATGGGTCAAAGCCAATTAGCGTCAGAGCAGCCCATTTCACCGCAAACCATCTGACAGAGCAGCGCGGGGGCAGCGCCAGCTCCTCCTGCCCCGCGTCCCAACCTCCTGCCTCCATCCCTCCCTCCCTCCTGCCCCGCATCCCTCCCTCCCTCCTGCCCGCATCCCTCCCTCCTGCCCGCATCCCACCTCCTGCCCGCATCCCAACCTCCTGCCCGCATCCCTCCCTCCTGCCCGCATCCCACCTCCTGCCCGCATCCCTTCTGTCCACATCCCTCCCTCCTGCCCGCATCCCTGCCTCCCTCCCTCCCTCTCCCCAGCCACGCCACCGCCGCTGTCGCTGTCGCTGTCGCGTCCCTCCGGCCTCTCCTCGGGCTGCGGGGGCACGGCGGGTGGGGCAGCAGGAGCCGCAGCCCGGCACACCGGGGCATCCCTCCCGGCGCACGGGAGCTCACGGCCCTCCCACAGGCTGATAAGCTCCTGGTGAGAGCGCTTTAATCACATTTCCCTGTTTGCTGCTCCAGGAGACAGAGATAATGAAGGGTGGCGTGGAAGCGGTGTCTGTGCAATCCCTGCAGCAGGAAAACGGGGAAAGGGAGCAGGGGAGCAGCTCCCACCCCTTATCTCTGGGCTGGTGGGGACAAGTGACCGCCGCCAAAGCTCTGCTCTGTCCTGGCCGAGCTGGGCAGGAGCAGGAGCCTTCAGGCCCAAGCCCAGGAGGCCCAGGCCGTGCGGGCTGTGAAACGCTCCGTGTTTCAGTCCCCGCGCAGCGCGATAACCCCGCACCGGGCAGGAGCGATCGGCCCGGCAGCAGGGCTCGCTGCCCGGGGCCGGCAGCCTCCCTCTCTCCGCTCTCCCGGCTGGAATTGGCCGCTGTGCCTGGCCGGGAGGAGCAGCCCCGCTCACCTGCCATCTGCCGCCTGGCCCGTGCCAGCGGGGACATATGGCACCGGAGCTGCGCGCTCGGCCGGGACGGGGCTGGCGGGGATCGGGGCCGCGGCCCGCAGGGATCCCCGCACGGAGCCCGGGGTTCAACGCCCCGGGAGAACGGCCCCGGCCGTGAGCCGGACGGGCAGAGGCGGCCGCAGCCTCTTGTCCCCGGCGCGGAGCCCCGCAGGGCACCCCGAGCCCCACCCTGCCCTCGGGGGCCCGGCCCGGCCCCCAGAGCCGGACCAGGCACAGAAATGCGGAGGAAGGTGTCGGCACTGCCCGCGGGGGAGCGCCGGCAGGAGCTCCCGGTGCCACCGGCAGGGACACGGCGCCGGTGCCGGTCCCCGGCCCGGCTCCCGCGGTGGGTGCCGCTCCCCCGGAGCTGCTCACACCCTCCGCTGCGTGGAGTGTTGATTTCCCCTCTCATTTTAATCAGCTTTATGGATGTGATAAATACACAAACGGAGAGCAAAGGAGCCCCGAGTGCCGGGTAAGGGCCTGGGGTGTTTGCCCGGCAGCAGAGGAGAAGGGGGCATTTTTTCTCCTCTCTGTAATTACTGCAGGAAGGTGAACAGCAGGAGGGGAAGTTTTCAGGGCAGTGCAGCTGTTCTAAGGAATCCCCTGTATTCCACATCCTTCGGGTGATTTCCCCAACAGCTCCCTGACATCCTGCTGGGACCCGTCTCACCGCCAGGGAAAAGGGAGCGTGGCAAGGTTCGGCCCATTTTCCGTGAACACAGGGCAAGATTTGCCCTCTCCAAACACGGTTCAGGAATAGAGCCGTGTTTATGGAGAAGCGGGAGCAGGGCTGGGTCCTGCGAGGAGTGAGGGCGCAGGGAGAGCTGCAGGCTCCTTTCCTGGAATTGCACTCCTACTCCAGACCCACCACAAGCCCCCTGCTGCAGCCAGCCTCGCTCTCCAGGGCATTACAGGAGGGATAAATGAATGAATGCCGGCTAATTAAGCAATTAATTACTGCAGGCTCTGTGGGCAGTGCTTGGTGCAGCTGCAAACCTCCCAGAGCCACCTTTCACCCATCGGATGGGCAGCAGGGGAAGGGGTGGGATCGGAAATTAAAATGCTGTTGGAAAGTTTAATTCTATCTCCATAATCGCTGCGGGGCTGGGCTGGGTTTGGGCACGGGGTCAGAGGGGCTGTGCCCGCGGGCACGACCCGCTCCAGCAGCGCATTCCCAAGAGTTGGCACATCCCGGGTCCCGCCGGGATCAGCGGCACCCCGGGGTCAGTGCCCTCGGGCATCCTGCCTTGGACGTGCGGCTCTGGAGCGGCTCGGAGCCTGCGGGCACTGCGGACAGAGCAGCTCCTCCGCCCCCTGTGCAGCCCGAGCAGCGGGCAGAGCTCCGGCGGGCAGAGCTCCGGCTCCCGCGTTTCCAGCCACGGAAGGATCCAAATGAAGGCTGGCTGTCCCTGATTAACCATTACCCTTGTTCCCAGTGCGGGGATTGTGCTCTGCTGTGCTGTGCCACGCCTGTACAGATCACCCGCTGCTGCTGCTCCATTGCAACTAAAACCGGGAGCAGGTGTTCGATATTTACAGAGGGAAAGTGAGGATTGCTTCATCTTCCTCTTGAATTACATCTTCCTGCCTGGGAAGAGCCGACACAGAACCCCCTGGCTGCCTCACAGCCACAGCAGGTCCCACCCTGGTGTCCCACAGGGCTCCCAGAGACCTCCGAGATGTCTCATGAACTGGAAGAAATGAATTTTCACTGGGGAAAGCCTCGTGCTGCCTGTGGGCTGAGCACGCCTGGGAAAGCCTGGCCAGGCTGTCTGCCGGGTTCAGCTGGGACGTGGAGATGGAGGAAGGAAGGGCCCAGTGCTGCTGGCCGAGTCCCCAGAGGGTGCTCAGTGCCCAGGGCCGTCACCAGAGCTGGGACGTGTGACAGGGGCATTGGCATCACCTGCAGCAGAGCCCCTCACAGCCAGCAGGGCGACAGTGGTGACAAATGACACTGGCCCTGTAATTACAGCCAGGCTCCGCTCAGCCAGTGCTGCTGCATTATTGAGAGCAACCAAAAATACTCCCGGCTCAGTCATTAACTGTCGGGCTTCGTGGCGAGTGGCTGCCAGGCCTGCCCCAGCCTGGCGGGCAGAGGGAGAGGGCACAGCCTGGAAAGCGCTGCAGAGGTGTTTGCACAGCTCCACCCCACAGGGATGGGGCCCTGGGAGGGGTCGGGATGGCGGTGGGGAAACGGCACTAGGAGAACATCCCTTGCCTTAGTGTCACTGTCAGTGTCAGTGTCACCGCTGAGCCGAGCTGAGGCACGGCTGAGCAGGCTGAGCCATGGCCAGAGCTTTGCTCCATGTCCAAGGTGGGATCTGGGAATCACCTGGAAAGCAGCTTGGATGGGAAGGGTGTGAGGAGGAGGCCAAAGCCTGGGGGAGCCTCATCCCGTGGCTGCTCTGAGAGATGCTCTGTTCCAGGGCACTGGAGCAGGTCAGGCTCCGCTCTGCCAGCACCACTGAATTCCCTCTGCTGAAGGGCTCCTTCCTCTGCAGGGACCAGTGTGGACCCCAACCTCCTCCCTCTTCTCCTGCAGGAGGAATCCCACCCTTTCCTGGGAGCTGGCCTGTGCCCAGCTGGCTCAGCCCAGAGGGGGGTGACCGTGCCTGTGGGGTGACAATGCCTGTGGGGTAAATGTGCCTATGGGGTGACCGTGCCTGCGGGGTGACTGTGCCTGCGAGGTGACCGTGCCTATGGGGTGACCGTGCCTGTGGGGTGACCATGTCTGCGGGGTGACTATGCCTGAGGGGTGACCGTGCCTGTGCCAGATGTCCTTGTGTGCAGCCAGATGTGCAGGTGCTCAGAGCAAGATTGCAGGAGCCCAGGGAGGGGTTAACCCACTCCTCCAACAACCACAACACCTTGGGCTGATGTCCCTCCAAAGCCCAAGAGGAACCCCAAAAGATGTCAGAAAGAAGTGTTTTTTCTATTTTGTGATCCATTTTCCATCAGAAAGGAGTTTGGTGGAACATTGTCACCCCACAGGTGTGTGGCCAGGCACAGTGCCCCACTCACGAGCTGCCTCTGCTGCCCAGAACACACTCTCCTGGGTCAGTGCCCTGGTGAGGAGGCACTGACCAACGGGGCAGTGACCGGGGGGATATGAAAGGCTTGGCCAGGACAGTGACAGTGACATCTCCTGCCGTGTGCCACCACGAGGGAGCACCGAGCAAAGGTGACCAAGAGCGCGGGCAGGGGACAGTCATCCCTCCGCAGTGCTCCTGAGGGGTCTCAGAGCTCCCAGTGCCCAGGCCGGCTCTGAGACCCCTGTCACAGCCCAGCGGGGACAGGCGTGGCCCGGCCGGGACGGAGCAGCACCTCTGGGTCTCTGAGCAGCACCTCTGGGTCCCTGAGCAGCGCCTCTGGGTCCCTGAGCAGCGCCTCTGGGTCCCCGAGCAGTGCCTCTGGGTCCCCGAGCAGCGCCTCTGGGTCCCTGAGCAGCATCTCTGGGTCCCTGAGCAGCACCTCTGGGTCCCTGAGCTGCCCGGAGCCCCCCGTGCCCGGGAAGGGCCGTGCCTGCACCGAGCAGGGAAGGGCACACACACAGCCCTGGGCTCTGCTCTCTGCTCAGTTCCCTCCCTGGAATTCCTTTTCCTGCTCGGCAGCACGGTGAGGATGGACGCTGGCTCGGCCGGGCTGCTCGTCTCTCTCCTCCTCCTCCTCCCCATCCTGTGGTTCCTGGCCTGGAGCAGTGACAAGAAGAGGAGCCGGCTGCCTCCTGGCCCAGCCCCGTGGCCCATCCTGGGCAACCTGTGGCAGAAGGATGTCCTGCCCCTCTACAAGCACTATGAGAAGGTAAGGGACAAGGGACAAGTGGCCGTGCTGGACCCGTTCACAGGACAGCAGGGCAGCCAGCAGAAAGTCCCGTGCCAAAATAAAAGGGTGACTCTTCCTACCTTTCTTTTCTCTTCTTCCCTCCCTCACCTCTTGCTCTACCAGAATTGCCTAAATCCCTTCTGCTGGGAGCAGGATCAGCCCTGTTACTGAAGCATCTCTCCTGTAAGGCACCCACGAGGTGACAATGCCCCTGCAGGGCTGCGGTGCTGCCGCTGTCCAGAGCGGCTCCTGGAGATGATGCTTTGAACCCCCAAAGTGGCACTGGGGTAAAACCCCCAGGGACAGGGACAGGGCTGGGAGAGGGATGAGGTCACAGCTTTGAGGGAGGCACTTCCCCTCCCTGCTGAGCATTCACCAGTGCTGTGGGCTCGAGTCCCAGTTTGAAATGCAGGGAGTGAACTGGTGTGGGACCCTGGCTCACAGAGCTCCCCATGCCCCCAGCTCAGCAGCACCTACGGCCCCATCTTCACCGTGTGGCTGGGGCTGAAGCCAGTGGTGGTGCTCTGCGGGTACAAGGCGGTGAAGGACGCCCTGGTGGGACACTCCGAGGAGTTTGGGGGCAGACCCCAGATCCCCCTCCTGATGCAGCTCTCCAAAGACTATGGTGAGTGCCTGGGTCTCTCCTGGATCCATCTGGGTGAGCAGACGGCCATGCCCCTAGTCTAGGGAAGGGCTCAGCACCCAAGACCTCAAACACCCATTTCCTGCTCTGCAAGACCCTTCAAGTCCTATGGCAAGGGCAAGGACAGCATCAACTCCAGTTAGGCAGTTCCAGCTTTGCTCTGAGTCGCTGCAGAGCTCCTCATCCTCTCGTGGACGCTGTGCACACCTGCACCGTTCCCTGGCTTGTTGCTCTGGTGCTCCTCAGCCTGGCTCAGAGCAGGGTTCCCACTCCTGGGGAGCAGCAGGGTGGGCAGGGGCTGATCTCCTCTGTGTCTCTCCAGGATTTGTCTCCAACAATGAGAAGAAGTGGCGGGAGCTGCGGAGATTCACCCTCAGCACCCTGCGGGACTTCGGGATGGGGAAGAACTCCATGTCCCAGAAGGTGCAGCAGGAGGCTCAGCACCTGGTGGAGCTGCTAGCAAAGCTCGAAGGTGACGTGGCTCCTGTCCGTGCTGGCCTTGTGGCAGGCAGAGGACACACAGGAGCCCCATGGCACATGTGTGGCCCCAGAGCTGTTTGCAGGGCTGGGTGTGGGTGATCCCTGCAGGGAAGGGCTGAGATGCAGCCCACCCCACCCAGGAGCTGCAGGGATGTGCTACAGGCACGGCTGAGGGGCCGGGAGGGAGATCCTGCTCTGAACTGGTGCAGGGATGGCCACAGCCGAGGAGCATTCCCTGCAGGAAGAACAGGAATAGGGAACAGGACTGTGTCCCTGGCAATGCCCAGCTAGGCACTGCCCCGGTGACTCCAGCTTGTCAGGGTGATTTCCTCCTCTCCAGCAGCGCCCAGCCCCTGCCAACACACCTTCTGGGGCTTCCTGCAGGTGCTGCACTTCCCTCCATCCAAGCTGAGGGAGGGTTTAGGGCAGGAGGTGGATGAGGAGCTCACAGCTCAGGGGGGCTCTGCTGTGGCTGTCAGGCCCCGCGGATCAGCCAGGCTCCAAAATCAGGGGCTCGGAGTGGGGGGGAATGCGTGTTTTCTGTCTTGAAGCAGGTAAATAACCGGTGACCTTTTGGTGCTTTTGTCACCTCCTGTGGCTGCAGGCAATGCCTTTGAGCCAATGACCACGTTCAGACACGCCGTGTCCAACGTGATCTGCTCCGTGGTCTTCGGGAGCCGCTACAGCTACAGCGACGTGGCGTTCCTGGAGCTGCTCAACGCTGTCGGGAACTACGTCAGCTTCTTCCTGTCCCCCATGGCCAAGGTGGGAGCCTGGCTCAGCACCCGACAGCCCCACGGGGCGCAGGATGCTCCTGCCTCTGGGGCCAGCGTGGCTCTGAGGGAGGGGCGGGGAGGCTCTGCCCAGGGACTGAGCCCGGCCGTGCCCCCCGTGCCCCGCAGGTGTACAACACCTTCCCCAGCATCATGGACCGGCTCCCGGGGCCGCACAAGAGGGTCCTGGCCGACTGCCAGAAGCTGAAGGAGCACATCCAGGAGAAGGTGCAGTTCCACCAGCTGACTCTGGACTCCAGCAGCCCCCGGGACTACATCGACTGTTTCCTGATCAGAGCAGAGAAGGTAGAGGGGGGCTGCCCTCCAGCCTGGCTGCAGCCGGGAGCATCACCCAGACACACCGAATCCACCCACCACACCCCCCTGCAGGAGAAGGGCAGCCCAGAGACCATGTACAGCCACCAAGACCTGATCATGTCAGTGTTCAACCTCTTCGGCGCCGGGACGGTGACAACCAGCAACACCCTGGTGTTCTTCCTGCTGATGCTGGCAAAGCACCCCCACATCCAAGGTATGGCAGCAAAACACAGCTGCTCCTGTGCCTGGGCTGCTCGTGGGGCACAGGGCCCCAGCCCTGGAGGGTCCTGTCTGGGGGCAGACCCAAATCTTGCTGTGGGGTGACCCAAGGTGGGAGCTGATAGACACAGACTCCCATGGGCCAGGGGGGTCCGTGTGCTCTCCCTGCGCTCCATCCCTGCCCCTGTGGGTGGCCTGGCCTGTGGAGATGCTCTGAGCTTGCCTAATTCAGGGAAGGATGGGGGCAGATATTTGTTTCTGGGCTTTACAAGGGATTAGGGCAGGTTGCTCCCCCTCTAGCCACCCCTGGGTTTAGGATCAGTGCCCGTGGAGGCCAGGGAGAAACTCTGGGGAGGCTGCACGGCAGGCACCCAGCCCCCTGCTGTCCCAGCCAAGGTGCAGGAGGAGATCGATGCCGTGGTGGGCCCTGGCCGCGCCCCCAGCACGGAGGACAAGCTGCGGATGCCCTACACCAACGCCGTGATCCACGAGCTGCAGCGCTTCCACAAGTCCCGCATCGAGAACTTCCCGCGCATGGCGACGCGGGACGTCCTGTTCAGGGGTTACACCATCCCCGAGGTACTCGTGGTGCCCCGGGGCTCTGTCTCCCAGGGAGGGCTGGCAGTGTCCTTTGCCTGTGTCCCTGAACTGTTTGCACACTTCTGAAGGTCTCGGCTCTTTCCCAACCCTCGGTAGCAATGACCTTTCGGAGGGGAGTAGAGGCACGTGAGTGTCTGCCTGTCCTGCCCAGAGCCCGTTCCCTTCCCCTCCAGCCCTGGAAAACAGCTCTTCCCCTCTTCCCCACGGAGCCCTGCAGGGCTGCAGGGCCGAGCAGGACCCCGGCCCGGGGTGGGGCCAGGCCAGACCCCCCACCCTGGGCAGATTTGGGACAGTCGCCCCTCCTGGTTTGACCACGAGCACTGTGTGCCAACCCCACCCTGAGGGAAACATCTCCTGCTTTGGATTTGGGGCACTGAGAGGGGCTTGGACAGGAATCCATGGGAGGAACTCGGGCATTTGTGTCCCACGAGCTGCACAGAGACCGGCAGGACCATGGGGACACTGGAGCCCCATGTCATTTGTCCCGGTGCCACAGAGCCACCAATCCGGGCTGCCTCCCCACGGGAAGCTGCTTGGGTATTGGGGTGCACACCCAGCCTCCCCCATGTCCCCTGGACCTCCCCCCAAGCAATCCACCGCAGCAGAGCCCACGGCGTGGCACCGATGTCCCTCCTCACATCCCTGCCCCATCCCTGTCCCGCAGGGCACTCCTGTTATTCCGGTACTTTCCTCTGTGCATTCGGACCCAACCCAGTGGGAGAACCCTGGAAAAGTGGACCCCACACACTTCTTGGATGAGAAGGGCGAGTTCAGGAAGCGCGAGGCCTTCATGGCATTCTCGGCAGGTCAGTGCTCCCGCCCTGCCAGCCGCGTGCCCAGGAGTGCCCGCACAGACACCCAGTGGCACCGCAGTGCCACCCTCCCTCCCCATGGGCTGTGTGCCCACCCTCTGTCCCTCGTTCCCCACCGGGGTCACCCCTCTCTCGTGCCAGGGAAGCGGATGTGCCCCGGGGAGGCGCTGGCCCGCATCGAGCTCTTCCTGTTCCTCACCACGCTGCTGCAGAGCTTCACCTTCCAGCTGGCCACGGAGCACAGCGAGCTGGATTTGTTCTCCCTGTGGCTCCAGATGGAGAGGAGGGCAATCCCGGGCAAGTTCTTCGCTCTCCCACGCCCGGTGTCCTCCTAAGCTGGGAGAGCAGGACAAGGAAAGGCTCTCCAGGTGCCTCCAGCCCTGGCCCAGAGCGAGCCCTATGGCCATGAGGGCACAGCCACCACAGGAGGGACACTTCGGACTGAGAGCTTCTCCTCTGAGACCTGTTGGGCACCGGTGCCACAGCTCCATGAGCTGCCTGCTCCCAGCCCTTCCCTCCCCATCCCAGGAACACGAGGAAGGCGGCACTGCTTCTCCTCCCCCATCCCATCCCCATCCCCATCCCCATTCCCCATCCCATCCCATCCCATCCCATCCCATCCCATCCCATCCCATCCCATCCCATCCCATCCCATCCCATCCCATCCCATCCCATCCCATCCCATCCCATCCCATCCCTGCTGTCCAAGCTCCTCCTGGCAGGGCTGCCTGGGGCTCCGGAGCTGCCTGGGGGCTCCCCCAGTTTGGTGAAGGATTCAGAGCAACACAAATAACCACCACAACAGGATGCTGGTGTTTATAAGAACACTTGTGGTGCCTCTTGCATCCAGTTCTTCCCAGTGCAAACCTCCCAGACCCAGGATTTCAGCTCCACGTCTCTTCCTGGAGTTCCTTCACCTTTCCCAGAACAGCTCGAGCCAGGAAATCACCCAGGCATCAATCCAGTGCCACCCCTGCCATGGCAGGGACACCTCCCACTGTCCCAGGCTGCTCCCAGCCCTGTCCAGCCTGGCCTTGGGCACTGCCAGGGATCCAGGGGCAGCCACAGCTGCTCTGGGCACCCTCATGGAAAGGAATTTCTTCCCAACAGCCCATCTAACCCTGCCCTGCAGCAGTTCGAAGTCACTCCCCTTTGGCCTGTCACTTCAGTTCCTTGTCCCAAGCCCCTCTCAGCTCTCTTGGAGCCCCTTCAGGTACTGGAGAGGGCTCTAAGGTCTCCCTGGAGTCTCTTCTCCAGGCTGAACGATTCCAGTTCTCTTACCTTCCAAAACACACACTTGCTATCTCACTGCTGGGCTGTGCTTCTCTGATTCCTTCACATCAATATTTCACCTCAGAAATTGCCCTCAGGAGCCAGCTCAGCTCCGTGTGCAGTGCTGGACTCACTCTGGGGGTCCTGAGGGGAGCTGGCAGGGTGGGATGTGCTCCCAGCCTCCTGTTCCCTGCCCGGGGGTGAGGCTGCTGCAGAGCTTTGGGTCAGCACTGGGGCTTGGGCACCCTGTGAAGCCTGGGACTTCAGGGTATGGGGAAAATTGGGGTTCTCTAGGGCTTCCAGGGCTGGTTTGGGTGGGGGTGGCGTTGCTGAGGTGCTCCTGCAAACACAGAGAGGGGGACAGCAGGGACTCTGCCCTGGCTGGAGGGATCTGCGATCCGGACTCGGTTAATCCTGGGGTGCCTTGTCCCAAATGATGCACAAACCAGCCTTTACTCTGACTCTAAGTGCCCTTGTGCGTTTGTGACTTTTAGATTACTATATCAGCTCTTTTCTTCATCTGGGGAAGCTCAGGCAGGCAGAGCCGCCTGCCAAAAACGTGTGTGACCGAAGCCTTTGCTCAGTCTCTGTCTGAAGCCCTGGGTCAGCACTGTGCCTGTGAACTGGGTGACATCTGTGTCTAAAACACCGGTGTCCAAAGGCCACCCGTGCCTGCTTCCCAGGGTGTTCCATGCCCGTTTGTGTCACTGCCCAGCCCAGCTGTGCTTGGGGCTGGCACGGTGCCCTGCCCTGACCGCGGGTCCCCATCCCGGGGGGCTGCTGGCATCCCCTGGCACTCCGACATCCCCCAGCACCCCAGTATCGCCTGGCACCCCAATATCGCCTGGTACCCCAATATCCCCCGGTACCCCAATATTGCCTGGCACCCCAATATCGCCTGGCACCCTGACATCCCCTGGCACTCCGACATCCCCCGGTACCCCAATATCCCCCGGCACCCCGACATCCCCCATCACCCTGACATCCTCCGGCACCCCACCATCCCTCGACATCCCCGTCCCCGACGTCCCCCGGCGCTCCCTGCTGAGGGGCTGCGCGGCTCTCGGCAGCGCAGTGGCGGCGGTTGGGGGTGGCGGTGACGGTGACAGTGACAGTAACCGCCGCGGCGGTGGCGGTGGCGGTGGCGGTGGCGGAGCCCCGGGCAGGTGAGCGGTTCCCTTTTTGTCCCTGGGCCATGTCACAGCTCCGGTCGTTCTCGCGCTGCTGGAAATGGAGCGGCTCAAGGCTGAGGTTTTCCCTGCGCTCAGCAAATCCCTGCGATGTCCTTGGCACGAGTGGCCCTGCTGCGACCCCTCGGAGCCTGGCGCTGGCACCTGCCCTGCTGCTGACTGCTGGAGCTGGGGCTGGGGGTGCAAAGCACAGAGCAAACTGCTGCTCTGTGTCCCCAGCGAGCCCACCCAGCGTGGCCCCTGGGCCTCTGATCCCTCGCCACCACCCAGGGCAGGGGTGAGGGGGAAGAGGTGTCACCCTGTCCCTCAGCCCCGCTGGTGCCAGCTGTCCTGCAGACCAGGAGCGTGCCCAGCGCTCTCCTGTGACTTGCACGGTGCCAAAGCCATGAGTTCAAACCGCCCGGCTCTTCCAGGGCAGCGCTGGCAGCGGTGCTGTCCATGGTACCTAAACTCGAGCCCTCCCAGGACTGGAAATTCCCTTTTTTCCAGGTGGGCAAGCACTGGAACGGGCTTTTGGCCCAAGCCACTGAGAGCCCTGCCAGAGGGTCCCGATGCAGGGGACGGCTCACCTTTGTCCTCAGCTGATGCAGATGCCACCATGGTTCCTGTGTCTCTCCAGTCACGCTCTGATGCCAGCCAAGCCAAGGACTTCACTCGTGTCCTGCCATTCCAGCTGTCCATGGCCATTCTGGGTAAAGCTGCTCTGCTGCTCCAGTGGTTTCCCCTAAGGGCAAGGGCTGGTTTCCAGCGGGGATCAGCCAGCCTGTCCCTTTAACTTGCCAGGGCTTTTGGATCAAAAATCCCTGGATGCCTGTTCTGCTGTCAGCGGTCACTGGGAATTCCTGGTCCAGCGGGTCCGGGAGGACAAGGAGTGTCGGAGCACAGTGCAGAAGACCCTCCTGCAGCTGCAGGTGGGACACCTGGCCTCCTGCCACTATTATGCACTTTAACAAAGGGGGGTTGCTGCTGCCCAAGCTGTTAAATGGAAATTCCTGTACCAGAGGCTGCCCCCAACTCTGCCATGGCCCTTCCACCTCCAGCTGCAGAGCGAAGCCAGCTGACATTTCACACTGTCACAAGGATGCTTTTAGTCTCCTTTAGAGAGCCTGAGACTCTAAAAATGGATCCAAACATTCTTCAGGAAAGCTTACTTTGGTCACAATGAAAATTTCCAGAGGCAGTGGAGGCTGGGCAGAGCTACAACAGCTCCCAGGGCAGCTCAGGAAGGAGCAAGGGAAAGGCAAGGTGTCTGTGAGGAGCTGGGGCGGTGGTTGGAGCACAGGAGTGCAGAACTCCTGGGAGAAGCCTGGCCAGGCCAGCAGGACCTGCCTGAGACAGAGGGAGGGCTGAAGGAGCCTCCCCCAAGAGACAGGCTGGAGCCTCTGCTTCTTTGGGTTGTGCAGGCAGCACAGAAACTCAGCTCTGTGCTGGCCTCCAGAACAGGCTTCAGGGAAGGTTTCACAGGCTAAAAATGGATCTTGAGTGTTGACCGAGGTGTTTTGAGAACCTCGCATCTCAGTGAGTTTGAATTCTGAGTCAACTGAGTGCCTGCCAAAGATGAGATGAGCTCAAGATTTTGCTGATTATCAAAAGCTCAAGACTAGAGTTTGGAAAAACAAATAAAAAGCAATTATTTTTCAGAAGTTAACCCTGTGGTAGACAGAGTGCCAAATGTAAGCCAGGTCTCAACAAGAAGCCAGAGTGTGCAGCTCAGCTGTGCAGGGATGAGCAGCACGCCCTGCCAGCGTGGGCTCTGCGCTAACTGTTGCCTCTGTTGGTTTATTCCAGGAGTTGTGTCCTAGAAAAACCATCCCAAACTATGCTAAAAGAGTCGATGTGCAAATTCCCCAGTTAAATGATGAGGGTGAGGTCATTGAAGTGAAGGACAAGGAGCAGAAGAAGAGGCGTAAATCAAAGGTTTGTTGGAGGTTGTTTGCCTTCCGTGGATGCTGCATGTCAGTGTTTGGGGAGGAGAGAGAACAGCTCATGAGGACAGCACAGTGAATTTGGAATTGCTTCGTTCTTTCCCACTCCTGCTTTTGGATTGCCCCATCATGAGCAGTTCACAGGGACCAGGGCTCGCTCAGCACCTTCCCACATGGGAGGGAGTTTGGGAGGCATCCCCAAACTTCCGCCTCGTCCCTGTGTGTCTCCAGTCATGGCACAGCCCTGGGGCCAGGGCCCTTCTTCCCTCAGAATAAAGGGTGCAGCTCTCAGGGCTTCCATTTATGCACAGAGCATGGCCTGGGAACAACCCTGGGCTAAGCAGGGTCTTGCTGCACTGGTTTTCCTTACTCTGGGCTCATCCCTAGAGCTGAGAGGTTCAATATTATGCAATAATGCTGCATTCCTGCCTCTCGGTTACTTTTCTTGCCATCAGACGGAGGATTTCAGTCTGCAGGAAGCCTATCGGGACCTGAAAACTCACAAGATCGAGCTGGAAGAGAGGAATGTCTTCTGTGGCCCCTACAAGACCTGTGTCCTCATGGAGCAGTGAGTAGAGTGCTGAGCTGTGGGGCCGAGAGCAGCTGTAGGAAAGCTGTTCCATCCCTGTGATCTTCCTGATGGCTGGAGAAGCGTGTCTCAGTGTCAGTGTTAAGAAACGTCCATTTTTAAAATAAAGACACCAAGATAAGCTGTTTTTGAAGGAATGAGGGTTGGTGATCCATGGTGTATCCCAAGGGATATGGGACTGGGAGGAGCCCTGGCCCCTCTGCCCACCCTGATATAAAGGGGGATGTGCAGATTTAGGGACTGTGGTGGTGCCCTGCAAAGGATTCAGCACTGGAGTGCTGCCCACTGTGCCCGGTTAAAGGCGGGGAAGTGCTGAGCCAGGCCTGCAGCTGGCTAAAAACCCAGCTCAGGCACTGCTTCTGGCAGGTCTGACAGGAGCAGGAGAGCCCATTACGGCGGCGGGGACTGGGTGGCCGCTGGCAGCAGGAGGCTGAGGCTGCTCCGCGTGCAGGGAGGGGAGCAGGAGCCGCTGCTGCTGCTCAGCCACGCCGAGCCCGTCAGAGCTCTGT